AAATTATGAAACGACAAATATACCCTTCTATTTAAATGCAAATTGGAAGGGAGAAAATACTAAAAAATGAAAAATAATGACCTTTTTCACAATAATATTGAAAAGTAAGAACGTTACGTGCTAATTAACTAAAGTATAATTATTCTATTGAATCAAATAAAAGTATAATTATTATATTGAACAAAATTGAAGTAACAAATCAAATTATTGTTTCGAATGAAATGACCACGTGTTTGTTGAAATGGTGAGAAGTGCATTCGTTAGAGGGGTGCAAGCGGCAATTGGGGGACCCTTTCGAGGGGGCAATAATGGAACACAATTCCTAATTTTGATCCACTCCGGCCTAAAATCCATCCCTTAATCATTCCTTCCCCCACTGAACAATAGAAAAATCTCTCAAAATTATCTGGGTTGACCAAAGTGCCTCGCTTTCGTTGGCTTACAGCGATGTCCCCAACTAAATGGACTCACTTTACATTCTAAACTCAATATTAATTAAACACTAATATCTCGATTTATCATCATATGACACTGGAGAAACAAAAAGAAATGGGACAAAGCATAAATTGGGGATTGAAAATTGAAATGATATTGAGAAATGAGAAGTGGGGTATGGGATTAGGATAAAGATATTTGTACAGAAAAATATCTACCGTATTGTTTACCCCCTCACACATGCACGTGTGCCTTTCGTGAAAAAAAAATTTCATGATGTGGCCCACACCCCCTATTGTGAATAGTCGGTTAGAGATTAAGTAAAAAAATTCGATACATGTAGCATAATCCATTTGATTAATCTTGGGCGGAGGAGGAGGGCCAAGCAGCCGACAAATCCCATTTGAAAGGGGCACCCTGCTCACACCACACCATTTGGGTGGTGGGCCTAATGGCTTCCACCGCAAGTGGTTTAATAGGGCTTGCTAAAACACTTAGGTCTGGTTTAATTTAAATAAAAAATTAGATTTTTGATAAATTTTAATAAAAAAATAATAGAGTGTATGTTTGAAAATTTGTGGAAATTATAAGATATATTGTTAAAATTAATTATTGACTTTAATTTAAATTTTAATTCATCTGTATACTTGACTCAAATAGGAGCCTAATGTTAAAGCTTAAAAAGTGAAAGAAAAATTTTATTTGAAAAACATATTTCGATAATTCTTTTTTTATTTTATTTTATATTGCAATTCACTTATTTTATAAAACTGTCTCGACTCTCATGCATAATTTTAGTTTTTTTTTAATTTAATCGTATTTAAGTAAATAAATAGAAAATACGTGTCCCACACTTCATGTCGCCCACACTGCACTCCTCGTCAAATAAATCTAATTTTTCTCGTCAATTGGCAAATTATAAATATATGAAAAAAGAAAAATTCCGTTCGTACCTCGAAATTTTACACACAAAATGACATATTTCTCCAAACTTGTATTATTGTTCATTTTTAAGATTTGAGATAATTGAATTTGATATTCAAGATTAGTTGGAGTAATTACAATTAAAAAAATCTAAAGCACCTCGAAAATCGAATAAATCAACAAATCTATTGACTTGAACACAAAATCTTGGCAATTTGGACAATCCACTTAATTTGTTCAATTCCACACTTAATTACTATTTAAGTCCATAAGTCTTCTTCTTACTCAACTTTAATTAGCATTCTTTATTTTTAACTTTATACCAAAAAAGTAAAATTTCAAGGGCACTGGGACCTAACGCTGATGCGGCGGCACATTGAGCCGTCTAAGAAATAGCGTATAAAATCCCTTTTATACAGGGAACCGCCGATGAAGTGGTGCTAGGACTTGACGCAGCGTGTTGCGCGTTTTGCTTTTGAATCACGTTACAATAACATAATTCTTAACATAATATCATATGACACTTCATTATTAGACTATTTTGAACACAATCAATAAAAAGTAGGTTAGTGTAAAACTCAACTAACATCATGTCACTTCATTCGTCAACCAGTTTCTGACAAAGTGACATAACCCTTTGCGTTTTAGGCATGTGCTAGCCGCTTTGGAGACTATCGGCTTGAGCCGTTAGTTTTCCAACTATTGTGCTTGTATTTTGTATGTCCCAAAGGGCAATGCAGTTGAGCCAATTTGACTTGACTCGCAAAAAATAAATAAAGGTCCGTTTGATTGTAAATGTGGAAAATAAGTGAAAAGAAAATATTCTACATGGAATTGATTTGTTTAGAAATTACTTTACTAAGAATTGTAATTAATTGTGTTTGATTAATATAATTTTTCATGAAAAATGTTGAAAGTTTGGTGTCGTTTGACTTCGTTTTTATGAAAAATTGTCGATTAAAGTGATAATTTTTTCTACCATTGGGTTTAGAATTTGTTCTAATTGTCAAAAAAAAATTGGAAAAAAAAATTATCATACTGAATACCATTCATTTAGCTTTGTTTTGAATGGAAATTGTCAATAAAAATGATAAATTTTTTTATCATTGTATCTAGATTTTTTTCATCCAATCACATTTTGCCAACTAACATCATGTCACTTCATTCGTCAACCAGTTTCTGACAAAGTGACATAACCCTTTGCGTTTTAGGCATGTGCTAGCCGCTTTGGAGACTATCGGCTTGAGTCGTTAGTTTTCCAACTATTGTGCTTGTATTTTGTATGTCCCAAAGGGCAACGCAGTTGAGCCAATTTGACTTGACTCGCAAAAAATAAATAAGGGTCCGTTTGATTGTAAATGTGGAAAATAAGTGAAAAGAAAATATTCTACATGAAATTGATTTGTTTAGAAATTACTTTACTAAGAATTGTAATTAATTGTATTTGATTAATATAATTTTTCATGAAAAATGTTAAAAGTTTGGTGTCCGTTTGACTTCGTTTTTATGAAAAATTGTCGATTAAAGTGATAATTTTTTCTTCCATTGGGTCTAGAATTTGTTCCAATTGTCAAAAAAAAATTGGAAAAAAAAAATTATCATACCGAATACCATTCATTTAGCTTTGTTTTGAATGGAAATTGTCAATAAAAATGATAAATTTTTTTATCATTGTATCTAGAATTTTTTTCAATTGCCAAAAAAAGAAAAAAAAACTAGCAAATATTTACTAACCAAAACATCAAGAATTTGTTTTCCAAAAGGTGGAAAAATTGGAAAGTTGGAAAACATTTTTCCAGAAAAATTTTGCTATCAAACACTACAAAAGTTGAAAAATGAATGAAAAATATGGTGTATTAAATGGAACCTAAATATAAAAGAGTAAAAGGAATTGTTTGGCTGGTTTAATTGAAAAGCTTGCACGTTATAATTAAATTGGGCACGTTCAACTTATGTTGTTGTCCTTTTAAATTTTACTTTTTTTTTCATCGTCTTTCATTTTCTTAAATTTAACTCTGATCTCTATTCTTATATAAAAAATAAGCATCGAGAATCAAATTCTTGAAACGATAGTGAAAAAATTACATGATAACTTAAATAAAATAAATTTTTACTTCTTGAAAATAAACGACAAGTTTTGAAGATGAACCATTTAATAATAAAGTCATTTCAAATATAAATCGAGAATCGATTTTCACTTTTTTTTTTATCTATAAGCTAATTTATAACTCTCGTGTTACATAGTAATCCATGTGATCAAGTTCAATAATGCCACATGCATGAACTGCTTACTAGGGAATGCATTTTTTGCTTGACTGAAATTAGTGTTAGATTGTCTATGTAGAACAAAAGCACATGTCCACATTTGATAAGTTGAACGATGAATAAATTCAAATAATTAACTCTCTCATTTACTTATTTCTATATTCGGATTGGAGGGAACTAATTTTAAATAATTATCCAAACCACGAAGTTTTCAGTTTAAATTTCAGTGCCTAATAAATATACGATTAACATTTTTCGTGAGTGAGGAAATATATCAAAGGCACTTTTGATTGTGAGAAAGCTATTGAACTCGAGATACCATAATAAATTTACTCAATTTCATGGATTCTAAATGGAACAAACAATGAAACAACTCAAAATACCATAATAAATAGGATAAAGCTACTTGTACATAATAAATTATGTACAAGTAGCATAATCCTAATAAATATGATCACGGAAAATATGTTTGAAGTGTTTGATGAAGTTGTTTGATTTGAATAGGCTTTAAATTACTGAAAAAGCAGCCAATTCCACGGATCATAGTCTTTTCTTACGAGAGAGCCAACTACCAAGTCAAAATCTCTCGATTCTGCCTAATAATAAACGAAAATCGAGAATCGAATCATAGTTGGAATACAGTGGGAAAGTTCACACTCTTCACGCCCACTATAGCATCTTTTTATTTCTCTGTGTACACTGTACACTTAGACATACATATATATGTTCTCTATTTCTCTGCAATACTTACTATAAAAGAAAGAGACAGAAACTGTGCATCCTTAAACTTTGCTGCTTTTAAAGGCTCTCTCGCAGCTTTTGTGCTTCGGCAGCTGCAGCGAATTTTGATGGTAGAGATACTGTTCAACTGCATTTAAGGGAGCTTAGTTGTGGTACTGAGATTTTGTAGCTGGCTGCATTAAAGGCCCCATCCCCACTCTCATTTTCTGCCCACTGTCAATTCTTAGAATGAAGAAATATTAAACCATTGCCTCTAGTTACTTTCTAGCTCTAGAGTGGCATATTCGTATTCACTAATCAAATTGGGAGTGTTTTTTTTTTAATATATATATAATCTGAGATCTAGTTTCAAGAAAGAGACTTGTCACAAGAAGGTATATTAGAAAGTGAAAATTGGGTTTTTTGTTATCTCCTCTTTTTGTGCTTTTTTTATTTTATATAAATTTTTCTTGATTGTTTTTATTTTCTTTTGCTATGGATCTGGGAATTCTAGACTTCCGTTTTCTGGGAGGATGAAGGGAGGGGGCGGAGGCTTAAGGCTAGCTTGGTTCATTCCTTTTTCTCATTTACAGTGTCTTTTTATGTTTCAGATCTGCTAGAATTTCACGTCTATTTTTTAGAGAAATTCGAAAACAATGTTGTCTCAGAAGCAAGCAGAAGAAGCTATTGTCTCGAACTTCAATGAGACAGAACATGACAGCAAAGATGAAGAGACAGTTGAAGATCAGTCCATGTTCAGCGTCAAGAGCTTCCTTTGGCATGGTGGCTCCGCTTGGGATGCTTGGTTCAGTTGCGCTTCAAATCAAGTAAGCTAAAATAGCTAAAATCTTATTTATCAAACTGTCCAGCACTAATCAGTACTGCACGTCAAATGCCGATGCAGGTTGCTCAAGTGCTGTTGACACTACCGTACTCTTTCTCCCAATTGGGAATGCCATCTGGTATCGTGCTTCAAATATTCTATGGCCTAATTGGAAGCTGGACAGCCTATCTCATTAGTGTTCTTTACATTGAGTATCGCAGCAGAAAGGAGAAAGAAGGTGTTAGCTTCAAGAACCATGTCATTCAGGTTTGTACTTATTTGCATCTAATTTTTGTCACATGAAAACGAACCCATTTCAATTTTATTCTTGAATTGCAGTGGTTTGAAGTGCTGGATGGGTTGCTGGGTCCTTATTGGAAAGCAGTGGGTTTAGCCTTCAACTGTACTTTTCTTCTTTTTGGATCTGTTATCCAACTTATAGCCTGTGCAAGGTACAATCTTTCTTCAATTAATCAACTTTGCAAGCATTGGGGTTTCTTAAAGTTTGATTCCATATTGGTGGGATCGTAATGTGAACAGTAATATATACTACATCAATGATCGATTGGATAAGAGGACGTGGACATACATATTTGGAGCTTGTTGTGCAACCACTGTTTTCATTCCCTCTTTTCACAACTACCGGATTTGGTCTTTTCTTGGCCTTGGGATGACCACTTATACGGCCTGGTACTTGACCATAGCTGCCATCGTTCATGGCCAGGTAATATATTCGCTCGCACTCTTTCTTTGAATGGAAGGCATTAAATTTTTTGGCTGAAGCATTTTAGCGAACAGGTCGGAGACGTACAACACTCGGCTCCAGCAAAGATAGTGCTGTACTTCACTGGCGCCACCAATATACTATACACCTTTGGTGGACATGCTGTCACCGTGTAAGTTTTTTTTTCCTACCATCTGATCATTCTTCTTCTTCTGTTCTTGTTTCTTTACTACTTCTCTTTCAGCTTTTGCCGGTGCCTCGGGGATTGAGACTTTAAACTTAATCAAAGGGACCACTTTTTCTTTGTTTGCTGGGGAAAAAAAGAAAAAAAAAACATTTCCCCTCCATTCCCCTTAGGAGTCTTAAGACTAAACAACAGGAAAATGAGTCTCAATTTACTCCAAGTTTTTGCCAATTTTCTATATAGATTTTATCTCGATCTAGTGTGAAAGGAACTAAATTTTCTGTGTAGATTTTTCGAACCTGCATTTAAAGTATTCATGTTCCAGGCTGACCAGTGGCTTCTGATGAAAAATTCTACAGGGAAATAATGCATGCAATGTGGAAACCCCAAAAGTTCAAGTACATTTACTTATTTGCCACATTATATGTTTTCACCCTAACTATACCATCGGCTTCTGCCGTTTACTGGGCATTCGGCGATCAGCTTCTCGACCACTCCAATGCGTTCTCCCTCCTCCCTAAGAACGGTTGGCGTGATGCAGCCGTTATCCTCATGCTCATTCACCAGGTCTATACAAGATACACAAAACACGTGGAATTCTTTTCATATATTCTTGGTTAACCGGACTAAAACCGATTGGTTTGTTCGCCATGCTTGCAGTTTATCACATTCGGATTTGCATGTACACCACTGTACTTTGTATGGGAGAAGGTAATAGGCATGCATGACACAAGAAGTATGTGTCTGAGGGCACTTGCAAGGCTGCCGGTGGTGATACCAATATGGTTCTTAGCTATTATCTTCCCATTCTTCGGCCCCATTAACTCTGCAGTTGGGGCTCTTTTAGTTAGTTTCACCGTCTACATAATCCCGGCTCTCGCCCATATGCTCACCTACAGGAAAGCCACCGCCCGTCTGGTAACATTCTTTAATACTGTCCAATGCTATTCCATTCTCTAGACATTGGATTCCATTATGGGAATAATACAGTTTACCATCAGTAAAAGCAGTAAAAATTAAAAGCAAAGTGAGTTGGAAGGAGAGAGAAATATAAAGAGTATAATATGCAACAATAGCATTAAAGTCATGGATTTGGAACATAGAGGTAGTTGGCATGTCCTTTTCATTTAGTTATGTAATACAGTCTCCGTGTTGTATTATGTTCTATATATGAGCTGGCTTATAGCTGCTCCCCCCCCCCCGGGGCCCCTACCCCACCCTTCCCCGCCCACCATACACACAATTTTTCTTGATCAAGTGATGTTATTTTGTTCTTGATTACAGAATGCTGCTGAAAAGCCCCCATCTTTCATGCCAAGCTGGACGGCGATGTACGCAATCAACATCTTTATTGTGGCTTGGGTTTTTGTGATTGGGTTCGGGTTTGGAGGATGGGCGAGCATGACCAATTTCGTGAAACAAGTTGACACGTTTGGGCTTTTTGCCAAATGTTATCAGTGCAAGCCTCCAACACCCCCGCATCTGAACTCAACGACGACTTCGCATCATTGAAGAATACATACGAGCAAACATTGAAAATTCACTCCCTTCTCCCCCTTCTTTTGTATTATACTCGTGTGCTTTTCCCCCTAAATTTTCATTATTTATTAAATATTAGATGAAATAGTGTGTTGAATTGTGATAAGTACTTTGGTCTGAAGCATAGGCTGATTAATTGCAAGTCAAATATAAGTTCTTATTTTTTTCTCTTCCTATTTTAAAGCTTGCAACGTTATTAATCATTATTACTTGGCATATTCCAGAGTACTATATGTTATTATTCAAATGCAATAGTATGGGCTATGTAAGTTATTAAATGTAATGTGGGCCTTTTGACCTAGATTCTCTTTGAAGGAATGGGCCGTGGGCCCAACCAAATCACATGGTTGCACGTTTTCTCCTTTAATTGTCACGTGCCACCCTTCCATCTCGAATATTTTCAACTCCGAATCACATGCGTGTGGAACCACGAACGTGCATGATCCTTCATGGTATTTTGCTCTATCAAGTCAAGATTATACCTTGCGATGCTCTCTTAGTTCACACTTCATTGTTTATTTCACAACATCCCCATTTTAAAAATCGTCAAAATGGTTTGAAACCAAAGAGATGTATAACATAATGAGTAAATCACATCCACGGACAATGAAACTTTATACTTTTTGCAATCAAACTGAACTTCAACTCTGAGCAATCACTCCATTGTAACAATTAGGCCAATCCATTAGTCTTCTGATCAATCACTTAATAGAACTTTAAAAGTAATGAAGCAAATTAAAATTCTCTCGTGATCACTGAACTTTAAAAGTAGGGTCAATTAGGTCTTTTGCAAGACTAGGATTTTATTCTAGGTTTTCCCATGAAATCATCTGCTTTCTACTTCAGGGGGAAAAAATGGAGCATTTTTCGATCTTCTTGGTTCGGTCTCACAAGCCTTCGTCGGTTGGTCAGATTCCTTTTAATTTGCATAATTTTAATCCTACAATCTTATCCATTAGGCCCACAATGGGAAACAAAACTGATCGACAAGCTTTGATTTACTTCAAATATCGAATAAAACAGGATAAATTTCAGATCATGACGGCCTGGAATGATTCTGTCCATTCTGACAACTGGACTGGAATTACATGCAATCCCTTCGATCAAAGAGTCAAAATTCTTAACCTGACATCCGTAAATTTGGTTGGCTCCTTACCGCCTTCGTTAGGCAATCTATCGTTCGTCAATGGTATATGTTAAGAATTGGGGTTCCATCTCAAAAGGTCAACCTTATTAAGAGGAGTAGTCCAAGATCTTTATTAATTGGTCTGTGTCAACATTATTTATCGATGTGAGATATATATCCCTTAACACGCCTCCACAAGATGGTGGCTCATTTGAGCAGACCAATCTTGAAAAGCCACGTGCTTAATTTAGAGTCTTAATGGGATTGAATCGCTCGTTGGAGCATAAGGGATTCTAATACCATATTAAGAATTGAGGTTCCATCTCAAAAGGTCAACCTTATTGAGAGGAGTAACCCAAGATCTTTATTAATGGGTCTGTGTCAACATCATTTATCGATGTGGAATATATATCCCTTAACAGTATAAACCTGAGAAAGAGCAGTTGCCACTGTGAAATTCCTCAGGAAATTGAGATTATTGAACCTGAAACATCTCGATTTAACACATAATTACTTACCGGGAATTATTCCTTCTAATCTCACGCACTGCACAGAACTTACTGTTCTTACTTTGGAATATAATCAACTTGTCGGGCACATTCCAAGCAAGCTGAACTCCCTGTCAAAGTTATTGGCCCTAGGCCTGGGAATTAACTATCTTACAGGAGAAGTCCCATCCTGGATAGGAAATTGTTCATCTCTTTCTCGTATTTCCCTTGCTCTTAACAGCTTACAGGGCAGTATACCTCAAGGGATTGAGCACCTGTTGGGGTAGGAATTTTTCAGATTTATGGGAACGAATCCTCCGATACCATTCCTGCATCCATTTACAATATAACATCTATTAGTTATAAGGAAAGCTGTTATTTCTCCAAAAATAACGCAATCAAGCACAGCAGATCAAGGCTCTAAATCTGATGTCATTAGACATGTCGAATATTCACAAGATGTATACTTATTAGGCAGTTATAGGATAGCCTTATTTTGGGCTTAACTCAAGCCTCTCAAGTTGTATATATATATATACCCGCATTGTAAATGAAATCTGTGTGAGTCATTCTATTCAAAAACATTTCCTCTGTTTCTCTATAGGGTATCAAAGCAGCCCTCTCTCCAACGAGTAAAATTCTGATCCCTTTTCCTCCACCTTCCACTCATGGCAAACTCTACTCCATGTCCTGTGGCCATCAACGCCAATTAGCAGATTACGACTAGACTCACCCCAACAAATTATCCCTCTTGGCATGCACAATTTGAGTCCCTTCTTCTTGGCTATAATCTATATGGCTATGTTGATGGAACAATTCCATGCCCACCACGACTGCGACCTACGATGCAACAATCACCGCTGCGTATATTCAGTGGTTTAGACATGATAAACTAATTATTAAGAATTGGGGTTCCATCTTAAAAGGTCAACCTTATTAAGAAGAATAATCCAATCCTTTATAAGTTGGCCTATGGTTTCATCTTTATTCGATATGAGATTTTTATCCCTTAACATGCCCCTGCAAGATGGTGGCTCGTTTGAGCAGACCAATCTTGAAATTCGTATGCTCACTTTTGGACAAGACGCCAGCACAAGAAGAGAGTCCTCCCCATTCTCTAGATCGAGATAACACAGCAGTCACCTCAACCACTCCGATAAACTCTCTATCTCCAGTTTTTCTCACAGGACTCATAGTATGACTACCATGTCCATGAACAACATTTTCTGCTCAAAGCAATTTCATACTACCCCCAAACACCCTCTACCTGAATCGACTGAACCCACCTGTGTTAGTCAAGCACTAAAGGACCCACTGTGGTGCAAAGCAATGTCTGAGGAAATTACAACATTAATTAATCATGAACTTGGGAACTTGTTCCACCTGCTTCCGGACAAAACCTTGTTGGCAAGTTTGTTTTTAGAATCAAGAGAAATCCTGATGGAAACATCAATAGACACAAAGCACGCCTAGTTGCTAAAGGGTTCCACCAAAGACCAGGAATCAATTACTCCCAGACGTTCAGTCTAGTTGTAAAACCAGCAACAATAAGGCTAATTATCTACATTGCTGTCATGAATGGGTGGTCACTAAGGCGACGCAACATCAATAATGCTTTTCTTCACGGCAGCCTTGATGAAACTGTAATTATGCATCAACCTCCAAGTTTTGAAGACAAATCCAAGCCACATTTTGTTTGCAAATTGAAGAGAAGCATCTATAGGTTGAAACAAGCTCTACAGCAATGCTACAAGGCACTTTGAGATGCACTACCCAGCCTTGGTTTTGTGCACTCAACTACGGATACATTCCTCTTCATTTACTCATCTAACAATGTTCTATGCTATTGTCTTATGTTTGTCGATGACATAATTATAACAGGGAATACATCGAGTTTTGTTACAGCTATCATCAAACAAATCAGCAACAAATTCTCTGTAAAAGACATGGGAGATCTACATTTTTCACTAGGTATTGAAGTTGTCCCTACACCCAAAGGTATATTCATCTCGCAACATAAATACATTTGAGACTTGCTAAAAATAAATTCATGGGATGAAGCAAAAGAAATACAAACACCCATGTCGACAAGAAAGCATCTCACTTTAAATGATGGATCTGAACCTGTAGACAGCACTGAATATTGAAGAATAATAGGAGCCATGCAATATCTATGCCTCACAAGACCGACATTGTCTTCACGGTTAATAGGCTCTCACAATTCATGCACAAACCGACATCTGGACTGCAGCCAAAAGACTCTTAAGATATCTCAAAAACACAATGTTTCACAGCATACTCATCCAGAAGAACAGTACACTAAAATTAGTCACATATGTCCACGCAGACTGGGCTGCCAATACTAATACAAAAGTCTCAACAACGGAATTCATCACATTCCTTGGATCAAACCAATTTCATGGTCTGCTCGCAAACAAAAAGCTATCTCAAGGTCCTCCAAAGAAGTTGAGTTTCGTGCCTTAGCTGCAGCAACCTCTGAAACATTTTTGCTTCATTCACTTCTCAATGAACTTGGAATAAAACTCATGCAAACACCACAAATCTTTTGCGACAATATTGGAGACACTCAGTTTATCCTAAATCCAGTTCAACATACACGAATGAAGCATATTAAAATTGATCTATTATTTGTTAGCGATCTTGTGAAGAAGGGACGTATAACTGTCAATCATATTCACACATTAGACCAACTGGCAGATCTGCTAACAAAGCCTCTATCACGACAAAAATTCCAAAATCTACGTTCCAAGATTGGAGTTACTGATGGAACCTCCATCTTGCGGGGTGGCATATAAGGAAAACTGTTATTTCTCCAAAAATAACGCAATCAAGCACAGCAGATCAAGGCTTTAAATCTGATGTGTAATCTGTACAGCTCATAGGTGTTAATGTATACTTATTAGGCAGTTATAGGATAGCCCTATTTTGGCTTAACTCAAGCCTCTCAAATTGTATATATATATATACCTGCATTGTAAATGAAATCTATGTGAATCATTCTATTCAAAAACATTTCCTCTGTTTCTCTATATTAGTTACTTCTTTGTTACTCTGAATCAGTTGCACTGAAATCCCCCAGATGTTGGTTTGACCTTTTCGAATCTTTAAGTACTTGATGGTTGCCCCGAACAATATAACTGGATCGATACTTGTTTAGTTATCAAAAGTGTCCAGTCTTGGATCAATTGATTTTGCTTTAGACGGGCTGACAGGGACAGTGCCAACAGTTTTTGGAAGCTTGACAGGTTCATATAGAATTAATTTGATGCTTATAATCTTGGAACCGGGAAAACAGGCAATTTGGACTTTCTTAATTTCTTAACTAATTGTACGAGTTT